GAGAAAGAACCATGATACTTTGGCAGAGTGGGGACTCTGCAGCTTTGGGGTGCTCCCTTTTGACACGTGGCTTTGGAAGCAGGAGAGACTTTGCCTGGAAGAAAAGGGCTGAAAGGAGGTGCCACATGGCTTTGGATTAACTGGAGATCGTGGTGGTGACACAGCTGATGGTGCCGGGAGCCCGAATCACGGACTTCTACTTCTTCTCCTGAGATATGGTACGACAGTTTAGGGCAGAGGGAGAAGGAAGTACTGTGTGCATCTGTGGTATCCTAACAGATTTTAATATTTTAATGAAGACATTGGGTCACTACTTTAAGTCTGTATAGTTTTTTTTAAATTTGCTTGGTATTTTATTTTATTTTTTTAAAAGATTTTATTTATTTATTTTTAGAGAGGGGAGGGAGGGAGAGAGAGAGAGAGAAACATCAATGTGCGGTTGCTAGGGGCCGTGACCTGCAACCCAGGCATGTTCCCTGACTAGGAATGGAACCTGAAGTCTGTATAGTTTTAAATAAACATTTCCTTTCCTTTTCACAACTCTCTAGCATTGAGAGACATCTTTCCTCTGATGGTGGGCATAGCGAAATTAGTGGGGGGTCCTTTCAGTAATAGGATATCATACAACAGCCACCTTGGGTCTGTTCTGTAACAACAGAACATTCAAAAGCCTGGAATGGACCATTTAGAGATGAGAAAACTGAGGCTTAGAGGTTGGCTTACTACCTCAAGTCTAAACTCTACCTAGCTTCCAAGAATGTCTATAGTCAGGACTCTTTCAATCTTTCTAGTCACAGGTCCTCCATAGTAGTAGTCTTCAGAATTTTTTGCTTCTCTGAAACTGAACCACTCTGGGTTCTATTGCCTGCCACCAAAGCAACTGTGACTCCCAATGCCAGAGTCTTATGAAAAGGAAAGGAACTCTTTATTCAAAAGTTATACAGGTTCAGAGTAATGGAGGAATTCTGCCATTAAATCCCACTCCCTTTAGAAACAAGAAAAACACCCATAATCACACAGTCCTGCCTCCCCTTGCCAAACCAGGCCGGTTGAGGTATCATCTCTCAAGAAAAGAAATAGAAGTCTGTAGTTTAGCTAGAGAGATTCCCTCAGTATTCCAGCTTCTTCCAGTCATCCATGCTGAGCTAGGCTCCTGCTTTTAATCCAAAACCGCATGGTCCCTCCACATGATGGGCCAGTGGGGGTCTGTCTGCATTCTTTCAAACCGCATAGGCAAGGCAGCCTTCTCCACTCCCAAGCTTCATGGTTCAGAGAGAGAGAGAGAGAGAGACTGGCTGGTCTGCACTTGGGCTTAAATCCTGGCACAGATCTTCCACCATAATTCCATTTCTGACTCCTCCCACAAAGGGTTACACCTGCCAGTATTCTGGTTTCTTCTGCCTTTCTTGGATTGCCTTTTTAGTCCAGGCAGGCATCTCCCAGTGACACAGGAACTGCCTTCCTGCTCTCTCTCAGGCTTGGCTAGCCCCTCTGGCTACAGAGCATCACAGGTTAGAGTCCAGCCCATTTCCCTGGCTCAGAGCCAGCAAGCACAACTATTAGCATTACTAACGCACTGGCCAAGTTCTTTAGACATGCAAAGTAACTCTCAATGGCCCTGCTCCCCTTCTCTTCCCCCAGCCGGGTCAGTGGTGGAACTTCCCATTTTGGGGACCCCAATATTCCCAGTAATACCTCTTCTCTTGAAAAAATAGGACAATATAGCTCATTTTTAAGGTGACATCTAATGTTTTTCATCACTAGTTTAAAACTTAACAGTTGCAGAGGATGAATGTAATTTTTACTTTTTAATAAATATTGACATTTTAAGGATTTTATTGACTTACTTTTAGGGAGATGGAAGGGAGGGAGAAAGAGGGAGAGAAACATTAATCAGTTGCCTCTCACATGCCCTCAACTGGGGACCTGGCCCACAACCCAGGAACATGCCCTGACTGGTAATTGAACCATTAACCCTTTGGTTTGCAGGCCAGCACTCAATCCACTGAGCCACACCAGACAGGGCAATATTGACATTTTAAATAAAACTATGTTACCCTTTTAAATGTATTGAGAAAGACTCAAATTCCATAGTGATTTGATGCTCACCATTATGCACCTTAAAAGTACATGGACAAGCCCTTCTTTAGCAATAAAATATTTTACATTATCTCTTTTTCTCCGTGTACTTGTATTTCTATTCCTTCCCCCCCTCAACAATCTAATCTTAATGTAACTTATTTTTATGCTTGAAAGTCTTTTATTGATCACCGTATTATACATCTCTGCAACCAAAAGATGTATATACATTAAAATTTAAATTTGTTTAAAGTTCCATGTAACTACAAAGCGCTAAGTAAGAAATTTCCATTTGGTTTGAGTGGCCACTACAGTATATTCAGTTGAGAAAAGCAGCATAAATATTATGATTTTCATACATATTAAACATAAACACAAAAAAATATTGGAAGTGTATTTGTCTGTGAAATTCATTGTCTTCTTCCCCCCTCGATAGTTTATATATTCATATATAACTAAAAATAAAGTTTCCTTCCTTTTTTAAAAAATTAAGCTTGGAAAGAGGAACATCAATTTGTTGTTCCACTTATTTATGCTCCACTGGTTGCTTCTTGTATATGCCCGACTGGAGATCAAACCCACAACCTTGGCATACCAGGATGATGCTCTAACCCAGCAGTCCCCAACATTTTTTGCACCAGGGACTGGTTTCATGGAAGACAATTCTTTCATGAACTGGGGTTGGGAGGATGGCTTTATAGCCTGCCACCAGATGCAGCTTAATTGTCACTGGCCACTCACTGATAGAGTTTTGAAATGAGTCTACAAACAGTTGATTTATTATGGTCTCTGTGCAAAGCTCTCCGCTAATGATAATCTGTGTTTCCCGCTGCTCTCTGGCTCTAGCATCACCGCCTCAGCTCCGCCTCAGATCATGAGGTGTTAGAGTCTCACAAGGAGCATGCACCCTAGAGGTCTCGTATGAACAGTTCACAGTAGGGTTCATGCTCCTATGAGAACCTGATGCTGCCACTCACCACCGCTCACCTCCTGCTGTGTGGCTGGTTCCTCACAGGCAAGCAGGGAGAGGGAGGTTTGGGGTCCCCTGCTCTAACCAACTGAGCTACTAGGCCAGGACATAGTTAAATATTAATTGTAGAATGGGACTGCATTCAATATCAATTCTAGTCCTGTTTTTTTGTATTAAAGCTGAGAAACTTCATTCACATGGTAAGTAGATGGGAACTGAGCATTTTAATATAGCAATGGCATCTCTTTCTGAGTTGTTTGATCCCCCCCAAAAATCACAGAGATTTTGTTAATGATGTTTCAGCTGACAATGTGATTAAGTCCCTCTGGTTTTGAAAGCAGATATTGGAAAACCTCCTGACTTAAAAACCAAAAGAATCCCTGGCTGGGTAGCTCAGTTGGATAGAGCATCGTTCCAATACACCAAGGTTTCGGTTCGATCCCCAGTCAGGACATATACAGGAAGCAACCAATGAATGTGTAAATAAGTGGAACAACAAATCAGTGTTTCTCTCTTTCAAATTAAGAAATAAAATAAAATGTCATGCTCTATTTTTTTAAAAAAGAAGTTGTCATCCAGTTTCGAACCTTCTCAGCACCCACAGCCCTGCAGTGGCATCGCACATTGGAGCTTTGTGTAGTATTCCGGGAACTTTATCCTTTTGGATAGTCCACTGTTGACTGGCAGTGGGTGGGAGAACAGTGAACCTTGCTACAGAAAGAAGGGAAGGTGAAATTGTGAAAGAAGAAAGCACTTTTGGTAAGCAGAACTTGGAAGCTGAGGATCTACAAACTGATTTTCTTAAAACTTGTTGTACCCTAGAGATACCCCACACCAATAGAGATCCACCGATCCTCCCATCCGATATCCAGATCCAGAGTTCTTGTGCCCACTAATGTGCTATACTTCTTTCTACCTGTATTTTCCCTGTTCTCCTACTCTCTTTTCTAATCTATTAGAATTTTTACAGGCCATCTCGAATCCCAGCTCCTACCTAAAGATTCCCCTTTTCCTGAATTCCTACTGCACTTGAGAGTTTGAACCTCACTTTCCCATCCCTGACGTGTACATTCATGTCATACCAGCAGCTTTGTTTAATAACGCTTTAGATAGATTATCGTAAGGTGTTTTGCAGTAGAGCTTGGTGCACTTGCAAAAGACATGAACTTTGATAATCAGATGGCACGTAAGTTCCAGGAGGGCAGGGGCTCTGTCTGTTTTGTTCTGTGCCATATTGCCAGCACCTAGCATAATACCTGGCATATAATAAGAGCTTAACTGTTGAATAAATGAATGGACTTGAGTTTGACTCTTGCCTCATCCCTTTTAAGATGAACAAAATAATAATATCTACTTCTCAGAGTTGCCATGAGAATTAAATAACCTGGGAAATTGCTGGGCATAGAGTGGATGCTCAGGTAGATCTAGTAGATGCTAGATCAACAGATGCTCAATAGACACTTTTGGGTGATACTAATAACAGTGCCTGCTTATGTACCAAGGAGTAAATCTTCACAAAAACCCAATAAGATAGGTACTACTATTGTCTGTATTTTACTGACATGGGAACTGAAGCACAGAGAGGTACAGAAACTTGGCCAGTCACTCAGTTAGTAAGTGGCAGAGTATACTTTCCTAGCATTGTACTATATCTTATTCTTTTAAAAAATATTTATTTTATTTTATTTTTAGATAGAGGGGACTGGAGAGAGAAAGAGAAGGAGAGAAACATCAATGTGTGGTTGCCTCTCACATGTCCCCTACTGGGGACCTGGACTCCAACACAAGCATGTGCCCTGACTGGGAATTGAACCAGTGACCCTTTGGTTCACAGGCCAGCACTCAATCCACTGAGCCACACCAACCAGACCTCCTTATTCTTTCTAGGACCTATAACTCTGCTTGAGGGAGGAAGAGAAGAAATGACAAGAGAAATGGACAGCAGACCTGATTAACAATTCACTCCAAGAACAGGTTTTATTTGGAAATGTGCCTGCACAGCTTGGTGGCAGTCTGGGGCAGATGGCCCCTGGCTTGCTTGTCTCCTCCTTCCTGGCCCAAGGCATAGGATCCTTGGGGTTATGGCACCAGATCAAGTTCTTAAGGGTCGGCACCCAGACAGCTTCAGTGGTCTAGGGCCTGGGGCTGATGCAAAAAATGAACTAGGTTCCATTTGGATCCTAGGTTCCATTCTAGGCTGTTTGGTGGTTGGAGGGCCTGGCCCCTGACACCAGGTCCTCAGTTCCCTCTTTTGCAGGGGCCAGTGTCACCCACAGGCCAGCTGTGGCCAGGTCCTGGTGGGCATGAATTTGGGGGTGATGGGGAAGGCGCTAGCAGAGGCTAATTTTCTGGTTCTGGGTCCACTTTGTCTTCCCGAGGGGTGGAAGCTGAGATGGGAGCCTCTTCCCCGCCGTTGATGGACTTCTGCTGCTCACTGGTGCTGGGTGACGGGGTACTGTTACTCCGGGACCCCCAGCGGGTCAGGCGCTTTAGGGAAGAATCACGGCGGGCAAGTGGAGGAGGCTGGAAGCCTGTGAAGGAGCTGCTGGTGGTGGGACGCTTGTCTGGCAGAGAACAGGCAGGCATGAGTTAGGGGAAAGGAACACGAAAGGGGAGAGGTTGACAGGCCTTGTGCAGCCCTGGGGTGAGAGGAGGACCTCCTGACCTTCAGTCCTATAGGCTCTGTAGATCTGGGGGTACCCCCTTTGCCCTTTCTTCTCCCTCCTCACTCTGGGATAGTTCCAGGGTCTACCCCCCTCTCACCTCCAGGCTCAATTGGATGCATGAGTCTGTTCATTTGGACGTTCCAGTGTTTCACATTGGTGCTGGCCTGGCGCAGCTTCTGCTGGGCGGCCTGTAGGACAGAGCCAGTGGAGTGTGGGTCAGAGCCACTACCCAAGATGGGGTGCCTTGATCTTTTGAGGTGCATAGGCCCCTCAGAATGTAACAAAGGCTATGGATCATCTCCTCAGAAAAACTCATGTATTCTCACAGAGTTATACATATGTACAGAGTCCCCAATTTCAGGGGACTCATAGCCCCCTGGCAAAGGGTCAAATATAATCGTAATTACAGTTTCCATTTATCAAGCAGCTAAGATGTGCTAAGTATATTTGTTATCTTATTTAACCTCAAGAGCAGAAGTTAACAACAAACAAGTACAAAAAAGGTTAAGTGACTTGTCTGGCGACACACAGACTCCTACACCACTGCACCACACTACCTCTCCAGGAGCTAACACAGAAACCTCTGCTCCAGTGTTCGCCTCGCCAGAAGCAGCAGGTGGTGGGATCATAAAGGAACTTTGTTTTCCTGTGTTACATATTTCTGTGCTTAAATTTTTTTCAATGACCATGTAAGCCAACAAAGCAAATAAAATAAATCATATTAATGAAAAGAAAATATCAAAATAAAAACCCTCTTCTATGGAGATTTGGGCTCCAAGGAGTGGATGCAAAATACAGGGCTAGCAAATTACGGTCTTGGAAGAGTAGAAGGAAAATTTTTGCCCACATTAATAATCATAAAAACGGCAGCTAATGTTTCTGTAGCCCTCACAACATACTAAATATCATGTACTATTTCATTTAATCTTTATAACAATGCTATTACCTATCTCTCTTCTCTGAGAGACTTGAACTCAGAGAGGTCAGGCAATTTTCCTGAGGTCACACAGCCAGAGGAGGATAGAGTCAGGGTCTGAGAAAAGGACCGCTTCCACCCAGCCCCACCCTAGGCCTCACCTCCACATCCTCGTCAGCCCTCTGCCGGTTCTGCCGCACCTCCTCCAGCTGCTGCTGGGCCTGCTGCAGGGAGCGGCTCTGCTGCGCCATCTCCTGCTGCAGCTCTTGCTTCTCCTGCTGCGCCCGCTCGATGTAGCGCTCCTGCTCCTCCTTCAGCTGCAGCAGCTGCTTCAGCTTCTCTTCCTCCTCCTGCAGCAGTCTGCCGGGCGTGCATTGTGTCGTCTCCAGAGCCAAGGCACCTGGCAGGTGCTCGGCAAGTGGGACGGTATGGGACTCAGGAAGGGGAATCAGAGGGGTCCCTCAGTCCTACCTCGTCTGGGCTAGACGCACCGCCTCCTCGTCCCGCCGAGCTTTCACCTCCAGTTGTAGAGCCTCCTGAAGCCTCTGTTGCATCTCCTCCAGCTCCTCGATGCGCTGCCGCTGCCGGGCAGCCTCCTCCTCCTTCAGCTCCATCTCAGCCTGCATGGAGGCCCGGGCCTGCCCACGGACGCAAAGCCAGGTCAATGGGGACACAGGAGAGGGAGGCGACAGGTATGCTGCCCTTTCCCCAGGGTCCTGCTAAGCCAGCCCAACTAGTTATCTCCAGGCGAGAGTCAGAGGAGCTCCTTCATGTCAGGGTTTCCTGATCTGATCGCTGAGAACCTGCCTAGGTCAGATAATGACCAGCGAACAGATGCTGCATGGCGGAAAGGGGCTCAAGTCATTCCCTTTCTAGAACCAGCCTTAATAATAATTATTATATATTATAATGTAATGTGTTACAGTTATAATTAAGGCTAGTACTAAGAAGGGAGGGGCTATAATTATAATAATTGTTATAACAACTGTTTCCTCATTTGATCCTCACCAAACTTCTGTGAGCAAAGTTCTACTAACATCAACATGTCGCTGATAAGTAATCCAGGTACACAGAAGCCACCTTGCCTGAGCTCACAGGGCTCCTAAGAGGCAGAGCTAGGAACGAATCCACTGTCTGACTCCAGTTCTCTCTCTTTTAAAAAGATTTTATTTATTTATTTTTAGAGAGGGGAAGGGAAGAAGAAAGAGAGGGAAATATCAGTGTGTGGTTGCTTCTCATGCACTCCCCACCGGGCCGTGGCCTGCAACCCAGGCTTGTGTCCTGACTGGGAATCTGACCAGGGATCCTTTGATTTGCAGGCCAGCACTCAATCCACTGAGCCACGTCAGCCAGGGCTGACTCCAGTTCTCTTAAATCCTAAATCTTACTTCCTCTACACACTTAGTCCGCCTCCACTTCTTCCCGCCTTTCTCCCATTCTGCATTCCCCAAAGTGGTTTCATTGTAAACTCAGATTAAGTCTAGTCCAATCTATTCTAACCTTGATCCAAATTCATCCTGATGACGTAATCATTAGCGGCTCCTTAGTCCAAGACCCGGCCCCAACCAGGCCCCAGTCTCCACCTAGTATTAGCTCAGGCCCCACCCAATACTTTGGCTTGGGCCCCGCCCCATACCATTTCTTCCTTCGATCCATCCACTCTGCTAGTTTCCTGAACCCTCCATCCTTCCCTATCCACAGGTCTTACCCCTGGTACAGGCTCTCCGTCCCATACTCATCTTCCAAGCTTTTGGTCTCTGTCCCAACAGCCCCTCATTCTAAACCCGGCACCATCCCTCTGCCCATGGGCTCCGCCCTCGCCTCAGGCCCTGCCCCTGGTCCTCAGTTTGCCCGCCTAGCTTCTCGGCATCCAGCAGCCAGCGCCTCAGCTCTTGGGGCAGGCCCCACCTGCTCCGCCTCTCGCAATTGGCCTTCCAGCGCTAGCTGCAGCTCGCGATGCTGGCTGCGGCGCCGCTCCTCCTCCTCCTGCAGCAGGCGCTCGGCCTGCCGCTGCGCCTCCTGCAGCAGCTCCAGCTCCTGCAGCTTCCGTTCCTTCTCCTCCTGCAGCTGCTGCAACCGCAGCAGCTCCTCCTCCTTGGCTACCCTGCGTCGCTCCCGCTGCTCCCGCTGCTCGCGCCGCTTCTGCTTCAGGTCCTTGTGCAACGAGGTCTTCCCCTCAGCCTGCAGCCGGATCGCCATCTGGATGGCTGAGGGGCGGGTGGGGATCAGCAGAGGGCTAGCCTGGGGCAGGGTGGCTGGAGGTGGCCCACTGCTAGAGAGGGGCCTTAGGAGTCACTCAGCTCGGCTCCAGCCTCTAATTGGGCAGTGTGTCATCACCTGCTTTACAATGATGAGGCGACAGAGGCCCAGCCACACCAAGACCACCCCGTGAGCAACTCACCAGCCGTCCACTCCTGGCGCTGGCGCGTGTCGGAGGCGCTCATCTCATACGTACGGGAGGCCGTCTTCACACAGAACATGCAGCGCTTTCCCTCGCGGTCCGGCAGCACCTGGGACAGGAGGGCAGGTGGTCCCAGAGAGACTGGCTTACTTTGCTGGATCAGACCATACCCGCCCTGCCCCAGGGTGCTCCAGCTCCTGGCCCTCCCCCTCCTGGCTGACCATCTTCCCCGGGCACCCCTCCCACCATCTGCCAAGGAGCCTGTGTGGCCCAGCTTGGAGGTTAGTTATGGGGGTATTTGTGTCCCCACAATTCTTGTGGCCTTTGCTCTTTGAAGGTGGGGTGGGCTGTTTTCATGTTAGTATCTCTCCGTGGGGCTTAGCATCTAGTGGCCACTCGGTGTCTATGCAGATCATGCTTGAACACCTCCGGTCACAGGGTCCTTGCTATCCAGACCATTCGTTTTCACATGGCCCTGCCTGTTGAGAATGTTCTCCATTTATTTCACAGATATTCTGGAGTGTCTACTGAGTGCTGCTCATTGTTCTAGGCATTTGGGATAGTGAGGTGTGCCTAACAGACCAGATTCCTGCCTTCCCTAAGTTACATTCTAGTGGGAAATAATAGCTACCACCTTTTGAGCTTCTTAGATTCTAGGGTCTGTACTAGTGTTTTATATGTATAATTTTATTCACTCCTCCCAGACAGTCTTGCCAGGCAGGCATCATTATCTCCACTTTACAGAGAAAGAAGCCGAGGCTCTAAGAAGTCCAGGATCTTGCCCAATTCACACTGCCTGTTAGTGTTAGAGCTGGGTTTTCTGCCTAGATCTGTGTTCTTTCCACAGAGACACCACAGCTTCCTCATTTGAAAAAAAAAAATGGACAGAGCCTAGGGTGGCTATAATTTTAAAAAATGTGCCCTGGCTGGTGTGGCTCAGTGGACTGAACACCAGCCTGCGAACCAAGAGGTCACTGGTTCAATTCCCTATCAGGGCACAGGCCTGGGTTGTGGGCCAGGCTCCTCTTGGGCGGCGTGCAAGAGGCAACCAACTGATGTTTCTTTCACACATCGATGTTTCTGTTCCTCTCTTTCTCCCTCCCTTCCCCTTTCTCTGAAAATAAATGTTTTTAAAAATGTAAAATAACAAGTGTTGATGAGGATATGGAGAAATTGGACCCCTCATACATTGCTGGTAAGAATGTCAGAAGGCGCAGCCACCATGGGAAACAGTTCAGCTGTCCCTCTACAAGTTAGACAGAGCAATCACAGGGTGCAGCGATGCTGCTCATAGGTGTGTGCCCAGAGAAATGAAAACACACGCCCACCCAGAAATTTGTATGTGGATATTCATAACAGCATTATTCACAATAGTAAACAGATGGCAACAATCCAATATCTATCAACGAGTGAATAAATAAGCAAAGGTCACATATCTAGAACGGAATATTATTCAGCCACGAAAAGAGATGAAGTCCTGAGCCATGCCGCAGCATGAAGGAACTTCAGAAACATTATGCTAAGAGAAATAAGCCACACACAAAAAAACAAATATCGCACTATTCCATTTACATGAGGTACCTACGATACTAAAGTTCATGGAGACAAAAAGTAGGGGGTGGGATGGAGGTGAGTTATTGCTTCACGGGTTGGGATGATGAAAACATTTTGGAAATAGATAATGGTGATGGTTACACAACACTGTGAACATATTTAATGCTACTGAAGTGTGCACTTACAATGGTTAAAGTGGCAAATTTCATGTTATACATATATATTTATTACAATTTTAAAAATTGTTATTTTAAGCCTCTGAAATAATGGACAGAGCCGGGGAGTGGGAGGAGGAAAGGAAAAGAGCGTGGAGAAAGAACAGGGCGGTACAGGGTTGCCACAGAGAATGGCACGTGGGTGAAGGAGAAAGGTCAGTAAAGAGGATTTCGAGAAAGTTTTGCTGTGTAGTGTGAGATGTAAGCTGTCTCCTCTGAAATCTTTCACTACTTCCACATTATTCACCAATGACTTTAGTATTTAATTTGCAGTTTGGTTGAAGAAAAAAAAAAACCTGACATGGATGAGAATGGCCTTGAGGTACCAGGTATATTTGCTTTACCTCATCTAAGCAGGAACTTGTCACTGGCTTGTCTTGATTTGCCCTCCTCCAGACCCCCTTGCCCTCGCACCACACTGCAGACCCTCTGGGCCCGGAGGCATGCTCCACCCTCGCCTGCCCCCTTACCTCCACACAGCACTGCGCATCCAGTGGGATGGTGCCCCTTTTCTCTTTGCACTCTTCACTCCCAAAATAGCAGAGGCAGCTGGGCTGCAGCTGGAACCAGCGTTCTGCCCAGTTCCTCCTCAGGTGTCCTCGCTTCCACAGGTAGCCCTGCCAGCCAGAGAAAAGTCAGAGGCTTCACAGTCCTCCCTCACCCCTCCCTGGGGGTCCTCCCCCAGTTCCCAAATGGCCTGACCTGCTTCAGGACATCTTGGATGAGCTCCTGGTAGACCTCATGGATGGCCATGCTGAGGGTATCCCGCCCCACACCTCGCAGACAGCGGCCAGAGTTGAAGAGCTCCAGGAACTGCCAGACGCTGAGCCCTCCGGTGGTCTGGGCTGCCTGGGCTTCCTGTGCCAACAGCTCCTCCAGCTCCGCCAAGCTCACCTCCAAGCTCATGCTGCTGAGTACCTTCTTTAGCAGGTACTCCACCTGAAGGAGGAGGAGGAAGGCCTGGTGACTGCAGCAGGCCGTGTTGCCAACACTAACACCAGGGGGCGCTCCTGTCTGGCTCCAGATCAAGGGCACAGGTGACCAGGAACAGGGGGTTGGAGGTAGGAGCAGAAGACTAAACTGGTGGAGACACCACAGTAGATTTGGGAGGGGATCCTGGAGCTCCAACCCCAATTCAGGCATCCTCTCCCTTTCCCCAACCTCCAATCCACTCCTTGCCTAAATTAAGGGCCGGTGAAGGTGGAAGCTATGGGCTGGGGGCCAGGCAGAGGCAGAAAATCACAAAAAATATGTATCAGAGGGTGTGCAAGGGCCCTCTCACCCAATGCCCTCACTTAGCAGATGACAAAACTGAGGCCCAAAGGGGGAAGTGACTTGTTCTAAATCACACAGCAAGTCGCTGGCAGCCAGAACCTGATGCAGATCTCCGGCATCCCACTTGAGTCCCATTCCAAGCCCCAACCCTGGGGACCCTCCCTTGTGGGAGGGCAAGGGGATTGGGGGTGGGGATCCGCAGGGCAGGGACAGGAAACCTGTTACGGAGGAACAGGAAGTGGTGGTTGGGGTACATCCTGCTGCAGTTTGTTCGCACTGCATGTTGATCACACAGCGAGCAGCCTTCTGAGAGGCCGCCTTGCCCTGACTGGCAGGGGTCTGGCAAGGGTGCCAAGCTCGGTGTCTCTGTGGATGGACACATGTCCCTCTCCTGCCCTGGTGGCTTCTTGGGAAACCCTCTCCAGGACTTCCATTGGGTCTCAGCTGGGAGCAGGGTGGGTGCACCACTCAGGGCTCAGGTGGCTCCTCTCCCTCTTACCCCCCAAAAAAGCAGGATACAAATCTGAGTGCAGTTCGACATGCCGGTTCTCCTTGTAAATGCAGAAGACCCCTCCCCTGTATGCCCTCATCTGAAGACCTAAATTCACCCTGGCGTCTTCGCAGCCAAGAGGGCTAAGGGTTGGGAAAGGCTGAACAGATGGGAGGGAGATGGAGAACGGAGGGAGGGTGCATGCTGACTGGAAAAGGGGGCACCTGCCCCAGCTTCGCTGATGAGTTGAGGAGGGAAGGGCGGGATTCCAGGCCTCCACTCCCAGGTCACCTTTCTGGGGTCCTGAGCTGAGTCCCCCCTGGCTCCCCCATGCTGTAAAGGACAGGAAGAGAAAGCCTGGAACCAGGGCCAGACACAGGTGTCCACCGGGAGTAACTGGGGAGATGGCCCATAAAAGTCTCCCTCCCCCTCATACAGCCCCCTTCTCTGATTGCCACAGCACCTAAAATCCTGCCATTTGATCTTAAATGTTCTTGTTCTTAAATGCCCAGTAATGTATCAGGCATTTACAGTTTTGTGTATATAGAATTGGTAGGTCATTTTCCTACTGAGAGGACCAGCAAAACCCCAAAGGAAGTGTAGTTTTGGTTCGCCTGGGAGAAGGCACAGGTGTTCTGGTATGGGCAATTCTAGGCACCTGGAGACAGCCAGGTGTGGACAGGTATCAGCATGGGAAGACAAAGAACAAAGGGGATGTGGGAAAGTAGAAAGGCAATTTGGCTTCCTTCATGGTTTTGCTGAGGCCTGGCCCCGAGTGATTCAGTCCCTGGGGGAGCCCGAGCCCTCACCTCATCAGGAACCATGATCAGGGGGTACTTGTCCTCAGACAGGAAGTTGAAGAGGCACCAGAGGCGGAAGGCATCCTGGTTGGACAGCATGCTGTTCCCGTTGCTATCTACCCGGTAGTTCTTCTTGGCCGTCAGGGTCCAGCACAGCTCATCAAAGTGCTCCTTAACAAAAGCCCCCTCCTCCACCTGCCACCAGGACTTCGAGTCAGCCAAGAAGGCTGCCCCATCCTGGCTCCACCCCTACACTAGTCTCCAGCTGGTTTCTCGGGACATCTATTCTCCTGCTCCCCATCCAGCGAAATCTGGGCTCTAACTTGAGGAATCCCTGAGCTGATTACCAGGTAACTAGCTGGTTCCAACCACCCGGTGCCCTCAACCCCCAACACACACATCCACGCCCACCCAAGTGCCCTGCCAACAGAGACACTCTAGCCCCTTAGCGCAGAGGAGAAGGAAGGGGAGGCCCAGGGCAGAATGGAAAGTTGAGAAGAACCTGAGAAGACAGTGCAGCTGGGACGGGCAGGGGGATAGCACTGGGGGAAGTGGGAGAGCTCTTTGTACAGGTTCCAGCTGGAAGCTGGAGGTGGGCCTAGGCAGGGATGGGGTGGGAAGCTACGGAGGGGTGAAGCTAGGGTAGAGATGAAGGAGACTGAAGGTGTGTGGATGGGGGCACGTGGCTGGAAAGCAAAGGATGGAAATGGGAAGCCAGAAGCACAGAGGGGATAGAAGTGGGAGTTTATAGGGGGGAGGAAATGTATTAGGGTGCTGGCTGGGAAATGGGGAGAGGTTAGAGGTGCCTCCCCCAGGCTGGGCCTCACCTTGTCCAGGATGTACTTGTTGAGGTAGGGCATGTACCCCTGGCTGGAAACAGGACCATCGTCATCATCTCGGAAGTGTTCCTCCAGAGCCACAGGGTCATGGGGGATGTGTAGGACCGTGTACAGGTTATGGGACAGCACCTGAGACAGAGTGGCAGTTCGCCTTCCTGTACCCCAGCCAAAACTGGGCCAAAGGACAGCCCCCACCTCTCTGTTTGCACCCAGCCCCGTCCTGGCTAAGTCCTCCACACACTATTCAATCACAACCAAACATATGTAATGGAATATTATTCAGCCATAAGAAAGAATGATCTTGTTATTTGCAACAACATGAATGAAACTTGAAGGCATTATGCTAAGTGAAATAAGTCAGACAGCGAGAAATATGTATAATGCTCTTGTATGTGGAATCTAAACAAAACAAAACAAAAACCCTCATAAATTCAGAGAAAAGATTGGTAGTTGCCAGAGGTAGGGTATGAGGGTGGGGAAAATGGGTGAAGGGGTGGAAGTTACAAACTTCCAGTTATAAAATGAAGTCATGGGGATACCATGCAGAGCACGATGATCATAGTTAATAGCACTGCACTGCACATTTGGAAGTTGCTGAGAGTCCATTTCCCCATCAGGAAGGATGCTGGTGTTGAGGAGAGTAACTACCACGGCCTCCAGTGTTTTAATGAAACCCCAGATGTGTGGCCTTCTGGCTAAGTGTCTGCATTTTTTTCCAGGGAGTAAATTGTAAAAGTTCTCATCACAAGGAAAAAACTTTTTTTGTAACTATGCATGGTGACAGATTTTTACTAGACTTACTGTGGCAATCATTTTGCAAAACAGTTGACCCTCGAACAATGTGGCGTTAGAAGCGCCAACCCCAGCTCCACGCAAAGTTGAAAATCCAGGTATAACTTTTGACTCCTGAAAAACTTAACTATAGTTGTCCGTAGGTAACCATGGGGGATTGGCCCCAGGACCCCCATGGACACCAACCCCCACAGATGCTGAAGTCCCTTATGTAAAACGCGCAGGACAGTGCATATAGTGGGCTCTCAGCAGAACCCCAACCGTGAGTTGAAAATACTGGGGGTTTTTTAATCCTCACCTGAGGACACATCCACTGATTTTAGACAGAGAGAAAAGGAGAGGGGGAGAGAGAGAGACAGAGAGAAACATCGATCGGCCACCTCCCGCATGAGCCCCGACTGGGGATGGATCCTGCAACCGTTGGGCATACAGGACAATGCTTTAACCAACTGAGCCAGCGGCCAGAGCTGAAAATGCTGTTTCTGGTCCACAGTTGGTTGAATCTGCAGATGTAAAACCTATGGATAGGGAGGACTGAATGTATATTTATTGCAACAAATAGGTATACAAGTGGACCCATGCAGTTTAAGACCATGTTCAAGGGTTTACTGTATGTACAAATACTGAATCATTATGTACACCTGAAACTAATATGTTAAATGTCAATTATACCTCAATAAAAAAAAACTTATAGCCCTGGCTGGCGTGGCTCAGTGGATTGAGTGCGGGCTGCAAACCAAAATGTCGCAGGTTCGATCCCCAGTCAGGGTACATGCCTGGGTTGCGGGCCATGACCCCCAGCAACCACACATTGATGTTTCTCTCTATCTCCCTCCCTTCCCTCTCTAAAAATAAATAAATAAAATCTTTAAAAAAAGAAAAAACTTAGACATTTACTATGCACCAAGAACTGAGCTAAGCACTTTACATATAATTCACTTAACCCTCATAATAACTGTTATCATCCCCCCATTTTAGAGATGAAAAATACCCCTAGGCTCTGAGACATTAAGTGACTCACTTGAAGTCAGAGAGCCAGCAGAGCTGGGGTCAAACCCAGGCAGCCAGGCTCTCAGCCACCTCACTAGGTCGGGGGATCTGCCCTCCGTCTGCAGACAAGGACACTGAGGCTCAAGGGACTCAGTAGCTTGCCTGAGGACCCACTGTGAACAAGAGCCCTGGATTCAAATCCAGCTCCGCAGATACCAAAGCCCAAGTACTTTGTGTGATACAGGGCTGTCTGCAGGGAGACAGCCTGTCATCCCAGGGCAGAGCCCAAATCCATCCATTTCCATCGAAGATTCAGTGCTCAGGATGCAGTGTGCCTAGCACCCAGGTATGGCCGCTGGGGTGGGGCCGTGTGCGATTCTGTGACAGCCCCTCTAAAGGTGGAAGGGAGCTGGAGAGAACTCAGAGGAAGCATCATGGAAATAGTCTGTGGGATGTGGAGGACAAGGCCCAGAAAGGATGGTGGCCATGACGGCATGGAGGAGAAACACAGATTGGTTAACAAACCCATGATACTGGAATGAAGAGGTTGAAGCTTGAACAAGGAAATCAGGGGAAGAAAATCGCCTTGGGGTAGTTCTATCATCACAGACAGCATAGTAGTTAGTCACTATTGCGCCAGCCACTGTGTGAGGCGCTTTCTCTACCCCTTGTCTAATCTCCACAACTGCGGTACCCAAACATTAGTACCCCTGTTTTTCAGGTAAGGATACTGGGACTTGGAGAGGTCGAGAGGAATTAAAGGCAGAACTCAGGTTGGAACCAGACGAGCCCAGCCCTGAAGGCTGCCGCCCTCTTGGAAGACTGATCAGGAGCCCCTTTCCCAAGTGGACTCTGGTCTCTGGAACGAGCTCTCCGTTCGTCTTGACGTCCCACACCACCTAGGTTCTCTTCCACACACCAAAGGCAGTCAGTAAACGCTGCATTTCATGGCTGATTCCACCACCGCCAGTTAATCCTGGGGTCAGTTTCTCCGAGGCAGGAGCCGGCAACATCTAGAGATGGCACGCGTGCCAAGTGTTTGTGTCTTCATTCTCTTTATTCTCTTTGTGAGAGAGGGGGGAGAAGGATTGGGACTTCTCCCCAGTGTTCTCCAGGGCCTGACAAAGTGGGGTGTCGGGGGGCCCAGTGGAGCAGCAGTGTTCTTCCTTTCTGTAACTTCCCTCTGGGCAGCCATCCCTAATCCCCACCCAGCCCTCTTTCCCACACTCGTTCAATTCTCTCTTATGCAATCTTTGGTTCTGCCTTCTCTTGTTCCAGAGGATGGCTGAGTTTCTTGTGAACTCTGCTCCCTCTCCCTTATTTTGGTAATAGAGGCTTGATTTCCCTTTGAGAAGCCCTTCTCCTCCACTCTCACATCTGCACCTGTCTCCAAGGGTGGGCACATCAGAGTCATAGTGATCAGGCCCTGGCCAGTGGCCCAGTTGGTTGGAGCATCGAGCTGTGAAACTAAAGGTCACATGTTTGATTCCTGGTCAGGGCACATGCCTGGGTTGTAGGTTTGGTCCCTGGTCTGGGTGAGTGTGAGAAGCAACTGACTGATGTTTCTCTCTCTCCCCTCTCTGTAAAATCACTAAGCATATCCTCAGGTGAGGATAAAAAAGTGATAGTGATTGGTTTAAGGAAGAGCACATGATCAAATCTGGGCCAATGAGAATCAGCCCTAGGATTTTTGCTTCGTCAAGTGAAAAACGGTAAACTCCCCGTGGAATTGCTGAGTTGTTGGAAGATATATACATCTGACATCTTTGTTCCTGTGTAGGAAGTGCCTGTTTAAAAATAAGGCCATCGGTGAAAACAGGAGTCAAGGGGTAAAGAGGGTCATCAGCCCTGGCTGGAGCGGCTCGGCGGATTGAGCACGGCCTGCAGACTGAAAGGCTGCTGGTTGGATTCCCAGTCAGGGCACATGCCTGGGCTGCAGGCCAGGTCCCCAGTTGGAGACGAGAGAAGGGCTACTGATCACCGTTTCCCTCTCTTTCTCCCTCCCTTCCCCTCTCTCTGGAAATAAATAAATAAATAAATAATTGAAATCCTTAAAAATAAAAAGGGATAAAGACAGCCATCAGTTGAGAACCTGGATCTAGCCATGCCCCAAGTCAATGCTATGCCTAGAGCTTTGGTTATGTGAGCCAATAAAAAAAATCTTCCTTTAGTTATTTTTAGTTAGGTTCCTGTCATTTGTATCCAGAAAAGACCTAACATATCTGTGATCGTAGGATACCAATCCCCACTCTGAGAGGTGCCACTGGCTCAATGCCACCTACACTCCAGGGTGACCAACACAAGAGAAATATCCACTTCTGAACTGACTAGTGTTATTCTAAGAGTTTTACATATTTGCACCTGGAGCCTCCTGGCTTCTTTTCAAACTACCCCTGTCCTTATCTTCCTTCAAGCCTCAAAGCACCTGTGTAAGAAGTGCTACACTCCAGGGGCAGGGAACGGAAGGCTAGGGACTTCCGGTTGTGGGGCCTTGGATAAACTCCTTCATCCTCTTGTTGTCGATAAAATGGGATAACATCTGCCATGCGGAGGGGCTGTGTGGACCGAGTGCCAGACTTAGGTGTGCATGGGACAACTGTTGTTCCCTTGCTGTATCGAATGCATGACCTAACGAATTGACGTAGATGGAAAAGACTGATAATATGAAGTCCTAAGGAGGTTGTGGAGAAAAGGAGACTTGGATGCCCTGCTGGTGAGATGTGAATTTGTAGTCTTCCCAGGGGGGCCAAAATCTATCAGACTTCACAATGAGCATGAGCCCAGCATTCCCGATCATCCCACCCACACGTGCTCAAGGGAACCCCGCTACACGTTCAGGAGTGTTCGTTCACTCAGCGTTGTTTGCAATGTGGAGAGTAGGAGACAGCTGAGGCTCCTTCAGCAGGGGCCAGGTGTGGCCTGTGGCCGACCTGTGTGTGGTTGCAAAGTTTACTTCTGCTACCTGTGTGCTGTGGGCAAGTAATTGAACTTCTCTGTGAGGATAATAAGGGCCTGCTCCACAGGGATTTTTTAGAACGAAGGTCTTAGCACAGCAGCCCGGGGGCGGGGCGGGGGGGGGGGAGCAGAGTGCACTGCTTAACAAAAGCTGCGAGCTATTTTTATTGTTTTATTTGTATAAACACATGGAAAGCTATCCATAATGTATTGACAGGTGAAGAAAGTAAGCTGTAGGATAAAATGTGAAGTGAATGTGTGTGCAAAGATTAGGTTGAACCACATACACTGCTATTTTAGTATGTCGAAGCAGTCAAATGTCAGCAATTTCATACTGTCCAACCTAATGTTTATTTGTATGGAGAAAAAATCTAGAAGACTCAGCAAACTGTTAACGGCTCTCCCCTCACCACCCCTCCTGAGGAGGGGAGGGACTTCTACCTTTACCATTACATTTGTCTCTGAATTTTATTAACTACTAACATGTTTTACTTTTATAATAAATTTCATCTTTTAAGAAATTATATTCTGCCCTGGCTCTCGTAGCTCAGTGGATTGAGCTCGGGCTGCGAACCAAAGCATCGCAGGTTCAATTCCCAGTCAGGGCATATGCCTGGGTTGCAGGCCACGGCCCCCAGCAACCACACATTGATGTTTCTCACTCTCTCTTTCTCCCTCCCTTCCCTCTCTAAAAATAAATAAAATCTTAAAAAAAAGAAAAAAAGAAATTATATTTTGCATTCTTATTTTTTTAAGCAGGAGCATATATTGTTTTTATGACAAAAATTTTAAACTACAGACAAAAGCAAAGGGTGCCATTAACCACTATTACTAATACACCCTGGAATGAAGCTGCTTTGCAGTAACATTCTTTGCTGATCCCTGTTTGTGTGGGCATCTCTGGGTGTTCTGCGTTCCCTGAGGGTAGCAAGGACTCTAATCTCAGCCTCGACTCAAGCTCAGTACAAAGTCCCCATATGCTGAATGTTTTTGATTGATGCTCAAGTCTAACTTAAATACTCCATTTGTTTCCCATCCGTCTCAGAGCAAGACTCCTTCCAGAGGCCTCAGGCACCACGTGACCTGGCCTGCTGCACCTTCCCTGACCTCATCCCTCTAGGTCACTTCTCTCCAGCCACTCTGGCCCCCTGGACAGTTGACAAGCCAGGCACACTGTTGCCTCAGGGCCTTTGCATCTGCTCTTCTGTCAGGCTGGAACTTTCCTCTCCCAGGTCATGGTGTGGCTCATATCCTCTCCTCCCAGGCTTTCCTTGGATGCCAGCTTCTCAGGGAGGGCTTCTCTGATCACCTTATTTGAATCTATAACCCCATCCGATCTGACTCCCACACTCCGATCCCCATTTCTGCTTTATTTCCTCCATGTCATCTATCATCTCCCATCACATGATACCTTTTTACTCCTTTCGTTTATCATATGTGTTCTCAGACTGAGCACCACAGGGGGTGGGAGGGTTTCTGTCTGTCTCATTCACTGCTGCTTCACGGGGTCTGGCACGCAATGGACACAATGCAGCTGTCAAATGAACTTAAATGCTTCATGAGGAGAAGCAGGAAAACTGCAGAAGGCAGACAGACATGGACTGAATCTCTCTGGGCAAGCTGACCCCACTGGGCCTGTCGTCATCTCTCTGACACTTAGAGGAGTTCAATGATGTAATGCACAAGCCCCTTCCACCCCAGGGCAGAACCTGCCACACAGCAGCTCGTGTTATTTGAGCTACTTTTCTCCCTGGTTTATTTGCCCACACTGTCCTCTAAGACCTGCCTTCCTCACCTGTACCTTTTTCTTTTAAAACCCTCACCTGAGGACATTTTTTTAAATTTCTTTAAAGAGACAGGAAGGAAGAAAGGGAGAGATAAACAGCGACTAGTTGCCTCCCATATGTTTGTGCCTGGACTGGGGATAGAACCCAAAACCTAGGTGTGTGCCCTGTCTGGGAATGGAACCCACAACCTTTTGGTTATGGGACGATGCACCAACCAGCTGAGCCCTGCTGGCCGGGGCCTCACTGATACCTTTTGTCAGTGGAATCTGAGGGGCCCAGGGCAGAGGATCCAATCCCTGTGAGCTGTCTGGTATCAGGACAAGGAGGAATTAAAGTCTCCACACACTTAGGGCTCAGGGCCTCTCCCGGTAGAGCTTACCAGACCTCAGACTGCCAGGCTTCCGGTGCCTGGGCGTGGTGGGGTCTGGGGTGGGGAGTGGGTGTGACCAGAAGAGGGTCAGGTGGGAAAGGAAACAGCTGGGATGGAGGCCAGCATGAGCAAGTCAGTCCTCGGCCCCGGAGGTAGGGGCTGTCATCATCCTCACTTTACAAATGAGGATACAAGGCTCAGAGAGCTGAAGCGTCTCACTAAAGGAAGGACTCTGAAGCCCTGCTCGCGATCTGTGCTGCCTGGGCTCCGGCCGAGCATCACCTGGGGAGCCCGTGAAACTGAAATATGCTGGGGCCCACCCAGATCTGCTGACTCAGAGTTTCCGAGGGTGGTGTCCAGGTGCCTGCACTGTTCACAGAGAGCACTCCCACAGGCTCCCCCGCCCACCCAGCTGGTCTCTGACCTCTGGGTTGGCTGCCCATTGGCAGCCATTGACCTTAAGGAGGCTTCATTTATTCACTGTTTCCTCTGGAGGCATGTGGGGAGTGGTTATCCTTCGGGGGTCAGGAGTTCCCTAAAAGCTCAAGTGCAGGAATTGGGGCTGGTGCCATGCCCATGGTTCGGTCATTTCCAGCCTTCAGAAGTAGAAGCAGTTACAGAGAACCCATCGAAGTAGCAAGCGATGACTGCAGAAAGAATGAACACTCAAATCTCTTCTCCTCCCCTCTGATCTCTCCCTGAGACCTCAGAGAAAACATTCCTGACTCCTGGGGCTACTTCTCAGAGGCCTTGCTGTTCTTCCTCCTCCCTCCAGCCTTGTCAAGGCTCTGCCCAGGACAGACAGAGGCAGCCCCTCTACCAACACACCGGGGCAGAGGAGGTGACCGTCACAGACAGATATCGCTTGCTCTGGCTGGTGCCGTTCTCCTGCTTGGTCCCAACCAAGGACTCCAAGAGCAGGGACAGTTTTAGTGAGAAGGTGGCCCTGCTGGTATGTACCTCTTATCTGCTTCTTCCCCGCCTTCTGACCACTTCTCTATTGCTCCTTAGCCTCTCCGGTGTCCCCGCCCCCAACACGATCACTACTTCCTCCCATTCCAGTGTTCACTCCCATTGACAGGGACCCTGCAGTTCTGCCCCACCCACCACCTGCCCGACACTCTCTCAGAGAGCTCAGATTCCTGGGGTGGAATGGTTTTCTGTCCAACGGAGAGAGAAATTGATCTTTTGTGACCAAGGAGGCTGCTGGCAGTGGGCTCAATGTGAGCCATGACGTGGTACAGACAGCGAACAGTTCAAGTATGCAAGCTCCCCATGGGCTCTCCCCTGCAAATACTCAACCTGTGGGGGTGGGGAGCAGGCACTGACCCAGTTAAAGGCCAAGGCAGGCTCAAGCAGAGATGAATTTGGGATGATCTTCTGTCTAAACTGAGACCCCACTAGATGACATGATCTGCAATAAAAGAATTTAAGCAGAATATAAGGAAGGACCTGCCTGTAGGGACATTCTCCCACATGATCAAAGTGGACTCCCTTTCCTGGGGGAGCCAAGAGTCTTTTATTGGATGCTCACAAGTCTGGCTAAGGATAGATTATTGGAGAGGACTGGTTTGGGACATCCAATGACAGGGTCTCCACGTTCAGCAAGGTGGGCCGTTAGAATAGGGTGGGGTGAACACCTGTCCAGTTCTGGCCATCTCTCTCAGGTTTCCCGGCACCTCCTACCTCGGTCATTAAGAATGGAGGTTTCCTTGAGACTGCACCCCTATTTTGGTATGCCCAGGGAGACACCAGAAATCTAGGGCCTTGGCCTCATGCCAGGTCCAGCGCTGGTGGTCAGTGCATACTTGTGAAGTGAATGGATGGACCCCTAAGGCAGATCCCAGAGAGCTGAGGGCTTCCTTGCTCTGTCCCCACTGTTCCCTGACCCTGACTGTTTAGGGCAGCAGTTTCAACCTTTTTCATCTCAGGGTACACATCAACTAATGACTAAAATTCTGTGGCACAACAAAGATACAGTATAATTTTGACCATTCATACTGAACAGTTATTGTAGTGTTGGCTATTGTCTTTTTTTTTTTTACTTGACAAGTGAAGGGGAAAGAGGTCAGTGCCCTGACTAAACAGTCAGGTATTGCATGTTTTAAAAATTCTTGCAGCACACCAGTGTGTCTCTTGCAGCACACGGACTGAAAATCACTGGTCAAGGGTCTTGCTTCTTCCCTACTAACTAGGGTGGAAAAGACAGCACTAACCCAGAACTGGAGGAAGGGAGGAAAGACACCTTCCAGCCTGCCAGGAATTGTCTAGGGCAATCACTGATGGGGCCCTTCCTGGGCTCAGAGTCCACCCTCCCAACCTGAGGTCTCCAGGCCTGAGATAACAATCTCCTAACATGGTGTGTAGGCGAAGGGGAAGGGGAAGGGGAAGGGGAGAGGAGGGAGGAGCCCGGCAGCAGTATAATGGGGTCTTTAGGTTTTGCCCCTTCCCATCTCTGTCCCATCTGGGAGGCAGGCTCAGAGGAGCTTTTCTACCAAGGGTGACTGAGCCGGCCTGGTTTGGACTAGGAAAGGCTCTTTGAGCCTCTCTCTCAGCTCCAGGAGGAAGTGACTGACAAGTACTAGCTAACTGTCTCTTTTCAAAGCCAAGAGGAAACGGCAGGAAGGACTAGGGTACGTGCCCAAGCTTGACTCTGAGATGTGTGCTCATCACATGGAGTCTGGGACGTCACCTGGCCCGTGGCCCTCAGAACCCCCATGCCGCCGACACACCCAGACAGTTGAGGGGCAGGGCTCTGGGCAATGGCTCCGCACGTGCCCCCTGGTCCTTAGACAGTAGGCAGCAGCCTCCGCCAAGCCTCCAGTTGCCCAGTACTGGCCCCCACCCCAGGCTGGGGCCTCTGGATGGCAGGGTGCCCGGAAAGGAGCAGTGTTCATGCCTGGCTCAGGCAGCAGAGACCGCTGAGGTGTGTCTGCCAGCCTCCCCTGGGCCCCGCGTGCCCCTCACCTTGAGCTGGGACTTGGAGACCTTGCCGCTCTTCTCCACATCCAGCGCGGTGAAAGCGTACCAGATGGACTTAAGCAGCTCCTTGCGCAGGGCCATGGCTGAGGCACCCGCCCGGCCCAGGGGTGGCTCTGACACCAAGATCCGGTTTCAGGAAATGCAAACGGCTGCACAGACCGCAGAGGAGCCCAGGCACGGAGCGAGAGCTCCACCTGCCTGCTCGCAGGCTGCCTGTGCTGGCGGTAACCAGCCTGTTGCTCTCGCAGTGCTCAGCGGCCCCCTTCTGGCAAGGCTGCTGAGGATCGAACCCCAGAGACTGGAGCCCCAGTCGTGTTCAGCTTGGCCTCCTGGGCTGCCGGAGGCAGCGTGCTGAGGGAACAAGTCAGCCCATCCTGACTCCAGAGTCAAATGAGGTTTGTTGGGGGTGTCCAGTCCCCATTCCACACTTACTGGGTTTTAGATAAGTTACTTGACCTCCTTGAGCAGTTTCCTCATTGGTAAAGCAGGAAGAATGCCCACCTCACAGAGTTATATGAAGGTCTGAGAGTGGATGTAAAGCACAGAGTAGGCCTGGACAAAGCACTTCTTGTAGAGCCGTCTAACAGCACTGTGGTGGTGGGGCGCCTCTCAGGCAGAAGAAAACAAAGGCAACAACACAAAGCTGGAGGAGGAACTGGGCCAGGGCACCTCTCCAGGTCAGGCGGACTTGACACGTGATTTGCTGCCTCCCCCTCCTCTGGGCTTTGGCTCTAAGACACTCAAGAGCATTGCCCACTCTGGGCCCACTGGACCTGAAGACCCAGAGCCTGTTTCTCAGGCACACGGGTGAGCCTTGTGGTGGGGCAGCTGGGGGCTTGGGACTCAGGGCTCTCCACAGCAGTGCTTCCCTTTTTCAGGTCCAGTGCCCATCACGGCTGGGACGCACCCCACCAGGAACAGGGTCATGGATGTTGAAGGTGCCTGCTTAGGCAATTGAGACAACCCCTCCCAGGGACATGCTCCAGTACCCTCTGCTCCCAAGGAGCAGGTGGCAGGAGCAGAGCTTTCTAGGGAGCCATGTTCTGGGAGCTTGCTAGGCATCCTGGGAGAGGACACCCGGGCTGGGGGAAGAGGGTTCCTTCCCCCAGTGGCAGGAAGGAGCTCAGGGCACCTTTAATCCCTGCAGTGTTTCCAGGCAGAAGGGGTTAAACCTAAAGATTCTTTCCCTTCTCCTGCATTTCTTCCTTCCCATCAGGGCAGGCCTGATCCTACCACAGTTTTCAGTGGGATCCAGCAGTGGCTTTGGAATGCCATAGCATGGTCCCGGTCCCCTGGGGGGGTATCCCCAGATCCAGGACTTCAGCACCAGACCCTCAGTAACCTGAACAAAGGCACCCCTTGCCCCACTCCAACACAGGGTTTTGCCCACATGGAGTAGCTGACTGGGTCTGGAGGGGCTCTGATGATGTAATACAAGGTAAGTTGCAAAAAACCAGAAATCCTCCAGCCTAACCATCTTGAGACCCAGCCAGCCTGGAAGCAGTGGTCACACTGACCCCACTTAGCCACCCCAAGGCCCACCTGCTTAGTGGTGGGCAGGAAGCCACTGGCAGGCCCTCAGGTCTTATCTCACACGTGGGCGCCTTCCCACCTGCACACCTGCCGGTAGGGCGGCCTCTCCAGCCCAGCTCCAGGGATCAGCAGAGTCGGTGCCAAGGACGGAGCTGTGAGCCTAATCAGAGCAGCTCCGCCACCAGGGCCAAAGACTGAGAGGAGAAAGGGATGGACCCAGGTGGAAACTTGAAACTTTTATTAAATACTCATTCACCCGTTTGCCACCACTGCTCAGAGCAGGAAAAAACTTATCAAAACGCAATTTTAAAAAATTAACCCCGATCCCCAGTATGTACAAGGCTGTTTCTTGCCTCTCTACCACAGAGAGGCTGAAGGGAGGTTGGGGGTGGGGTGGGAGGGCTGGGCACCTTTTCTCCAGCCACAGGCCCCTGAGCACTTCTGACTGCAGTGGTGGGAAGTCCCCTGATGCCAAGTGGCCAGGCACCTCAGCTGGCCTCTGGGGAGACAGTAATTGCTCAAAGGGGCAGGGCTGGGACTGTTCTGCCCCTATTGAGCTGAAGACCTATCTGCCCTCTCCCCTGGTGGACAGTGACCAGTTGGAGAAGATGACCAATCCCCACAGCAGCCCCAATTGCCACCTGAGAAGGGGAATGGGCTGAGGACAGAAAGGGGGTTCTCTGGAGCGGGGAAAGTGGGTGCCCAGCTGATTTTGAAGGGAGGATTCCCCAGTGCAGCCTGGTGATCAAGCGTGTCCTCCTTGGCTTCTGAGGAGCTGAGGAGACAGCTCCCCCGATTCCAGCTGTCCAGCCCTCCTCTTGGGCAGGGCCCCGACCTGCTTCGGTTAGGCCATCTTCCTGCTGCCTTCTGGCCCTGGAGATCTACGTGGCCACCTTCCATGTGTCAGTCACAGCCTGAGCCCTTGGAGGCCAGATGGCTGTGCAGCACAGCACCTCTTCCAACACGAACAGGACCCAGGCCTCTAGGGCTCAGCAGCCACTCTCTGACCCTGTGGTCTCCAAAGTCAAAGCCCCTTGTTGCATGGCAGCAGTGGCCACGCTGATGGCCTCCTCTAAGGTCTGCTGCTCCTCCAGCTGTGGAGAAGAGAGTGGAGAAAGGAGAGAGTGAGACTCCTCTCCTAGATTCTAGGGATAGTGGCATGTGACCCACTTCTCTGAATTCACTCCATCCACCCAGTGCCACACACAGCACTTAGTAGGGCCCCAATAAACAGGAAGTCACTGATAAAGAGTCCTATTAGGCTGGGTATGGCCAGGGGGCCACAGAATGGCCCAAGGTCAGAGAGACGGGCTTGCTCGAAAAAGGGAATGACTGGTTGGAAAGGACCTTAGTAATCATCTACTTCAGCCTCCTTATTTTCCTGATAAAGAAACAGAGGTGTGAAGAGACGAAGGGCTTAGTCCACCAGGTAGGCTGCCACTGAAATTATTCTGAAGGCTGGAAGGAGTGTTGCCACTCTGCTTCAGTCAACAAAGAGCCTGAAGCAGGTATGTGGATTTAGGAAGAAATGGATTTGTTCTCTGAAGTGAGCTCTTTTTGAGCCAAATGCCCTTCTCCTGGGTCCTTTCTCCAGCCTGGTGGGATCCTCCCAGACCTACACCCACCTGCACAGCAATGTGTGTTCCATTGGCCGTAGCCAACAGCGCCACCTGTTGATGATGAAGAGATGCTACACTTGAGTCTTCAGCCATCACAGCCCCAGAGGTAATGATTGTGACCTGAAATACAGGTAAATGAGGTTTTCCAACTCACCTACATTACTCTCCCTCCCCCAATCCAAGCAAAATCCCTCCAAGCAAGATGGCTGGAAATACCAGAAAAGAATGGATAAAACCATTATGGATCAGGTTAATGGACTTAAGGCTCACAGGACTTAGGGCTCACAGCTGAGTGATGTGTTTTTTTCTTACAGCCAACTTAATTTAGGGATTTTGAATCATAGGACAGAGGTCTAAAAGACCCCAGAGATAATTTAATTCCCTTTTGAAAATGGATTGAAGTCCATAAAAGTGACTTGTCAGTGGTAGCAAAACAAATAAGGGGTAGATTGAGATTTCGAAACTGTCTCTTGACCCCCGGTGAAATGCCTTTCAACAGGAAAGTGGCTGATGGCCCAGAGGAACTGAGGGAAGCCCTTTCTCGTGGGGAAATCTTGGTCCTCGTAAGAAAGCTTGACTGGGTTAGCCTGCACTTTACTGTCTACCCAATGGAAAGGAAGAACAAGAGAACAAGAAACCCCAAGCAAACCGCCTGGTCATACGGGCTGCGTCTGGGTGCCATCAGCGCTGACCATGGTGACTGTATGTGTGCCAGATGTAGCAAGGTCATCGTCATGATTGGGGATGGTGAGGGTGGTGCTGCCGTGCTGGGTCACCATGCTGATGGCACTTCCCAGGGCCTGCAGGTCTACCGGGGACAGGCTGACCTGCCGACAGGAAGGAAGGAGATGAGCTGGGAGTGCCGTGCGGGTTGTCTGAAAGCCCCTAGGAGGTCGGCTCCTGCCCTCCCAGACACTGTGTCACAGGGATGGAGGAAGTCAGGGACAAGCAAGTCAAACAGGTCCCAGGTTGTATGGGAGGCTACACTAAAGAATTCTGCTCATCACTTCTATTTACCACCACTTCGCCACAGGGCTCTCTGTTCCATGTAGTTCGGGGTCTCCTCCTAATTTCATCCTCATGCCAACTCCAAAAGGCATGGTGCCCTTGACAGTGAGGGTGCTGACAATGGTCAGATTATACTGCTGGCTGGAAACCCAGGCTTCCAGACCCCTCACCATGCTCTCTCATATCTACACCACCGCACCTCTCTTGAGAAGGACATCCGAGTGTCTCACTCAGATGTTCAGGACCTATAAGCCTCCAAGTAGAGAGGGAACTACTAACTGTGCTCCAGAAGTCCCAGAGACTTCCTGGAAGCATGAGGAGGAGGATGGGCTATGTTACAAGATTGGTACCCTCAGCCTCAGCTCACTGACACCCACAATGCTAAAAAGAAACTGGGGAGAGAGGGGACTGTCACGCCTTCAGGGTCCCCAGCGAGAGTGGGAGAGGGCACCAGCCACAGCGGCCCACCCCATCCTTGCCCCTAGGGCCTGTACCTGCTGGGCACCGTCCTGAGTGAGCAAAGCCACCTGGGGAGCCCCATCTTCCTCAGTCACCATGGCCACTTGGGCTGGGATGTCATCACCCTCTTCTTTCACCTCCGAAAGGTAAGCAATGCGAGGGCGTTTGGGTGGTGGGCTCTCCTCGGCTGCAGAGGCGGCTGGGAGAGGAGAGCCCAGGCTGACACCTGACACTGGACAGCCATGGAGAGGCCTGGCTCGTCCCCACTCTCACCTCCTGCCCACGCCCCTCACCCTTGAGCTGCTGTTGCTCATAAAGGGCCTGCTCGCTCTCCTCTGTGGCCTCCAGCTCGCCGTGGGCGCTGCGCTTATGCATGGCCAGGGTGGAGGTCTGCCGGTAGGTCTTGCCGCAGGTGCTGCAGGTGTAGGGCTTGCAGTGTGTGTGCACCACGTGGTGCTTATACAGGCTCGAGTACTCGGTGAAGCGCTTCCCGCAGCCTGGTACCGTGCAAACGTATGGCTTCTCCCCTGGGGACACTGGGCTGTGAGGGGGGTGGGAACTGGGGCTGGCAAGGGGGAAACTAATGGGACAAGGCTGGGAGCAGGGTTGGTGAAGGGAGAGGCAGAGGGAGCGAGAGGGTCTAAGACCTAGGAAAGACAGCCAGTGGAACACAGAGGGACACGAGTGTGGGGCCACTGAGCCCGGAGGTAGGTGGAGAGAAAATGAGGAGATGGGACAAAGTTGGGGCTAATGGAGGGAGCATTGGGGTCTTGTAAAGTTGAAGGTCACCATCAGAAGAGGAAAGGGATGAAGAGGTAAGACTGTTGTGTCAGGTGTGATGGCAGAGTGAGGGGACAGAAGGCTGGACGAGGAACGTAACACTGGGGAGGATGAGGATACACAGGAGTCACATGGACAGGGAACGAGGTGAGGAGTTGGAGGGGACATTTCCCTCTGCTTTTCCCCCCATCA